AGATGGCTTGTAAGTCCCACTAAGCCATTACCTACCTCCCATCCTTAACCTAAGTAACCACACTGATAACAAAATGGAGTTAATGGCCCAAAACCGGCCGTTTATTACAACCATCAATAAATAACATTTTTAAATAACAGAAACACACAGTATAAAAACATACGTTCTTTCAAGGTCCCAATAGGCATCAATAAAAATGAAGACCTGCGTCTAACTAGGCCTCCTGCCGCAACATCACTGACTCGGAGACACCACCGCAGACACCCCCACCAGAACAACTGGAAGCCGTACCACAGACGGGTTCCTACAAAGTGCCGTTTCTTGTGCCCACATTAACCAACGAGGACCTTGCGCCCCGCCGGACATCCCCCAGCACCAATATGTCACAACCACCACCAAGGCAAACCATGAAACAACAGGCGGGCAGGAGGGAAGTTTGCCCTGTGAAAACTCTCTTCAGACTGAAGACCCCCTGTCACACCCTGTCCCTTGTTGCTCCCCCACTCATTCCTTAACTATTTTAACTCCCCCTTATGCTAATAGGACTCTGCCTCTCCCAACCCCCTTTAACCCCTTTTTTAACCGCTCTTCGTTCAGGTCTTCTTTCTTCTTACTCCAGGCCTTCCTATAGTAGAGGTATATCAGGCACCTACAGACTACAGAATGCCAGAGAATGACTTCCCTTGGAGGGGGTTTTGCGGTGGTATACTCTTTTCCTTTTCCTGTGCTGCCCTAGGCAACACAGAATCGGGAGCCCCTCACCCTGGTCCCCACCACCTTCCACCACTGCCAACAACCACAGCCCCTTTCCCCTGGCCGACAACAACCTATCATCTGTCACCGCCCCCCCCCCATTGCCACCACCCCCTGCCACCACAAACCAACGCCTCCTTTCGCTAGATCTGGCAAGCACTCACCAGCACAAGGAGCAACCTCCAGCAGCGCGCAGCCTCCTCACCAGATCCCCATCCCTCCTGCCATTTCTTCTCTGGGCATCGCCGCCCCACTGAAAATTGCCGCCCCAGGCAAATGCCTTGTTTGCCTTGTGGTAAATGCTCTTGTTCTTACTGTAATCCCAAAATACCCCTGCATATATCTGGCTGCCAGTGGGAGACTGATCCAGACAGTTGACAGAGGAGACACCCCACTTTTTCCCTCCTCAACAGATACCTCTCCCAAACACTATTCCTACTGTTTTCCTATCAAGCAGGGTTCTGCCCGTCTTGTTCCCACATTGCGGGCACATTGAATGAAGCAGATTCTCCTATTTAGGGAATTATTCTGAGTCAAGACAGCTACCCAAATCTCACAGGATTTTATTATCCAATAGGATTGCTGTCCTCCCCAAGATGGATGCCTGGAGCCCATAGCAGGGGACAATCTGTCCTTAGTCGGCTGCTTCCCACAGGGACAGTTTCACCTTCAGGTTGGATTTCAGTATCCAATAGGATTGTTGTCCTCCCCAAGATGGCTGCCTGGAGCCCATAGCAGGGGACAATCTGTCCTTAGTTGGCTGCTTCCCACAGGGACAGTTTCACCTTCAGGTCGGAATATATACTGCACACTTAGTAGCTGTTTTTGTTGGATATGCCTGGTAATTAAGGGTTCATGCATGCACACCAGTGCTTTTGGCAGAAAAAAATGCTAATGTTGAGCTTTTTTTTACATTAGTGTTTAGGAGTGTTTTGTAGCATTAGGAAACATTTAGGGTTTTTTCTGCAAGAACAATGCACTCAAAAACACAAAACAAAAAGCGTAATATATACTTCTAACTGACCTAATGTGCGTGGACCAGGGCTTTTTGTTAGTAGGAATGTGCGTTCCGCAACCTCCAGCACTGAATGAGGTGCTGGGGTTTGCTGGAGGGTCTGTTGTCGCTGCTGGGGAGGTCTATTGCTGTTGGTGGGGAATTTAGTTTTGCTGGGATTTTTTGCTACTGTTGAAGGAGGGGTCTATTGTTGCTTGTTTCTTGAGGGCCTACTGATGCTGACTACTGGGAGATCTATTGTATTGGTACTGGTGAGGGTATAATATTGCTGTTGAGATCTATTGTTGCTGGTGGGTGATCTATTGTTGCTGGTGGGTGATCCATTGTTGCTGGGGGAATCTATTGTTGCTCAGGGGGATCTATTGTTGCTCAGGTGTTTATTGTTGCTGGGGGGATCTTATGTTTCTAAGGGGTCAATGCTTGCTAGGAGGGAATTACTGTTGCTGGGGGAGGGGTCTATTGTTGCTGGCTACAGGGGATTGTGCTCAGAGTTCCACAACCTCCCACACTGAATGGGGTGCTGCGGTTTGCTGGAGGATCTGTTGTCGCTGGGGGGTATTTGCTATTGGGGAGGTCGATTGCTGCTGGTGGGGATCTATTCTTGCTGGGATTTTTTGCTACTGTCGAGGTAGGGGGTCTATTGTTGCTTGGTTCTGGAGGGTCTACTGATGCTGACTGCTGGGAGATCTATTGTATTGGAACTGGTGAAGGGTTATTATTGCTGGGGAGATCTATTGTTGCTGCTGTGGGTTATCTATTGTTCCTGGGGGGCTCTATTGATGTTTAGGGGGATCAATTGTTGCTTAGGGGTTTATGTTTGCTGGGGGGATCTTATGTTGCTAAGGGGTCAATTCTTGCTAGGAGGGAATTACTGTTGCTGGGGGGATCTATTGTTGCTGGCTACAGGGGATTGTGCTCGGAAGTGGGTAAGGGACAGAGACAAGAAGAGACTCGGAAGGGGGAGTACCTGAACCTATTCTCTGAGAAAAAAAAAGTCCTGGCATGGACACAGAGGATAACATTAGTTGCTTCTACAGGCAAAACACTAAACGTTTCTAGGAGCAGTCTTTTTTGGACCAACGTGCATGGACCCCTGGTGTTGTTTTTTTTTTGCATTATTTGATTCAATGTTACAACATTTTAAAACTCTGAATTTTGGATTATAAAACAAACTGCGTAATGGTGAGCACAAGTAACTCATACGAACCACTTCTTCTTCCTTCTCTCTGCATACTGTATGCATGTTGTGTTCCAGTTTGTTAGTTTGGCTCCACTCTTGTTACAAAGACCAATTCACTATTTGTCTAATTCTTCAAAGGGCTATTCTCTTTTTTTTTTTAAGAACAAAGGTAAAAAATAAAAAGCTGTAACCAGTGTGATAGGTTGTAAGAACTCGCTGCCCCTACCAATGCACACCGATAAGTGCACATGGGAGCATAACGCACGCCCACGGGTGTGAATGGGCCCTTAACCACTTCAAGTCCGGGCACTTGCACCCCCTTCCAGTCTGGACACTTTCCTCCCTTCCAGTCCGGACACTTTCCCCCCCTTCCAGTCCGGACACTTTCACCCCCTTCCAGTCCGGACACTTTCACCCCCTTCCAGTCCGGACACTTTCCCCCCTTCCAGTCCGGACACTTTCACCCCCTTCCAGTCCGGACACTTTCACCCCCTTCCAGTCCGGACACCTTCACCCCCCTTCCAGTCCGGACACTTTCACCCCCTTCCAGTCCGGACACTTTCCCCCCCCTTCCAGTCCGGACACTTTCACCCCCTTCCAGTCCGGACACTTTCACCCCCTTCCAGTCCGGACACTTTCACCCCCTTCCAGTCCGGACACTTTCCCCCCTTCCAGTCCGGACACTTTCACCCCCTTCCAGTCCGGACACTTTCCCCCCCTTCCAGTCCGGACACTTTCCCCCCCTTCCAGTCCGGACACTTTCACCCCCTTCCAGTCTGGACACTTTCCCCCCCTTCCAGTCCGGACACTTTCACCCCCTTCCAGTCCGGACACTTTCACCCCCTTCCAGTCCGGACACTTTCCCCCCCTTCCAGTCCGGACACTTTCCCCCCCTTCCAGTCAGGTGACACTGTACTACTTGTGGGGGGTGATGAAGATTTTTTTTTTTTTTTTTACACTGATTGCTTTTACACTCATAAAGGCTGTAAAAGCAATAATTTATCCTTCTCTCTGGCTGCATTCTTGCAACCATTGAAAAGTACTGAGTGAGCTGTGATTGGTCACAGCTTGTCACATGGTACAAGGTTGTTGTGAATGGCCCTGTACCATGTGACCTCTGTGATCATTCACAGATTTCACACGTAGTAAGCAATGATGTCAGGAAGTGACATCTTGCTTACTACTATTCATGTGATCACTGATTGGCCAATCAGTAATCACATGATCGGGACCTCACAGAGAGGTCCCGTAGGACGATTGGTGTTCCACTGTGTCCGGAGGACACAGCGGGCACCGGATCGCAGTGCTGCATGCTCCCAGGGATCACGCACAAGCAGGGAGCAGGGAGGCCATTTATAAATGACCACCCGCCCCTGCACTGCCACCGTCCAGCCGTTTATATACAATGGCCGGACGGGAGGTGGTTAAGAATAAAAGATTGTAAAGGGATTAATGGTTATTTACATAGTTACATAGTTAGTCTGGCTGAAAAAAGAGAAAAGTCCATCCAGTTCAACCATAGAAAAAAAAGTTATAATCCTATACCCACAGCTGATCCAGAGGAAGGCAAAAAAAACCCAGCAAAGCATGATCCAATTTGCTCCTGTTGGGAAAAAATTCCTTCCTGATCCCCTGAGAGGCAATCAGATATATCCTTTGGACAAAAGGAATTGAAAGACCTTGGGACACCACTGGGGTCCCCGAGACACACAGGGTTATGCTCAAGATTGTGCTTAGTTCATGTGTTTTTGTACAGACAATATACAACCTATCATTTATTATTTTAGTTTATTGATTCAAAAATTGATTTATGTTGCTTAGTCGAAGTGGTGGATACATCAGTTCATCAAAATATCTGTTTTGATGGACTGACCCCATAAACCCCCATAATCAATGCATCCCCGCATGCCAGGGTGCTAGAGGTAATCCTGGACTTTAAACTATCCTTTTTGGCCCCACAGCCAATCACTGCCTAAAGCTTGCCGCCTCAACCGCCGCAACATCTCCAGAATATGCTCCTCCCTAACCAATGAGACCACAAAGCTTCTAACTCACTCCCTGGTCATCTCTCACATTGACTACTGCAACTCCTTCCTCATTGGCTTACCTTTACATAGGCTATACCCCCTCCAGTCCATCATGAATGCTGCTGCCAGGCTCATCCACTTTACCAACCATTCAGTGTCTACCACCCATCTCTGCCAATCCCTCCACTGGCCTCCATTCTGTGTCCTCCACCCCTCTCTGCCAATCCCTCCACTGGCCTCCACTCAATGTCCTCCACCCCTCTCTGCCAATCCCTCCACTGACCTCCACTCAGTGTCCTCCATAGAACATCCAGTAGCCATCTTGGATGTGGACAGAGTAAATGTCATGGTGGCAGAATATTTCATAGACATAAGGACAATCATCAGTTCTCCCGAGCTTCTCCCATCCTATGGAACTTTCTACCCCAATCTGTCCGGCTGTCTCTTAATCTATCCACCTTTAGACGATCCCTGAAAACCTGTCTTTAAAGAAGTCCATCCTGCTTCTACCTAGTAAACCGCCATTTATTTCCTCCATCAGCTCATCCCCCCCCCACAGCTATTACCTTTTGTATCACTCAATCCTTCCTCCCAGATTGTGAGCTCAAACGAGCCGGGCCCTCTGTTTCCTCTTGTACCAAATTGTATTGTAACTGTCATGTCTACCTTCATTTTGTAAAGCGCTGAGCAAACTGTTGGCACTACATAAATCCTGTAAAATGATAATAATCAGTAAATTCCATCATCTGACATCTGTAGTCTTCTCTCTCATAGATCCTGATTCAGAAGGAACCTTGGTGCTATAACAATTTAAAAAAAACTAATGAAATGAGATACAGAAAGGGGTAAAAATGTAAAATAAGGCCAACTTCTGAAAAGTTAGAAGTAGGGAAGGAGGTCCAGCCTGGCCTTTATTACATGCCATGATCTCAGCAAAGGTGTCTCCATACCTTGGTTTCTACCATAACAGACAAAGCTGTATTGCGAACCAAGCTTCCCAGTTCTACACTCGGGATTACAGGTTTCTCAAATATCTACACCAAGAATGTACTTCTCATATTTTGATTTGCCTTCTTTTGATACCCTTATGATGGGATGAATTTACTATAAACTGACATAAAAAGGCAGCCACTAGCCTAAGTGTTTTACCTGAGGGCAACAAAACCCAATATGTTTATTTGGCTTCAGTTGATTTAGACATGTTACTGGAATTTGTTATTTTTTTCTTAACAAGCCTAAATTTGTTGGATTCCATTGTAAACTTTAAAACAATGACAATCTGTGTGTTATTACCTGGGGGCTCATAAGACCAGATCTAATGTAGTCATTGTAGCCCATCCATCGCTGGAAGTCAGCATACTTTCCTCTATGAAAGAAGTACTGGTGTCCTCTGTAGCTGGGGCACTCATACAGATCCACTTCCCACTCTCCACACGGATGGAGTTGCAGTGTCTGAAGTATGAGGACAGTTAGGGGCATTCAGAGCTATACTCGTAAGAGCGACCCTGGAAGTTCCTGTCCTTGTAGAAGATGACCTGTCATAAAAACATTAAGATTTTTCATAAATTTTGTTCTGTTGCTTAGTCTAATTATTGTATGTGCTATTAGATTAATAACCTAAAGTCGACCAATGAGGAAAAATATAGTTTCAGACTCTAAACATGCTCATAGTCATGGCCACATATTAATGTCAGAAGATGTCTCTGAGGGCACTGGAGGGAACCCAGTGGAGGACTTACCTGTCCTCTCCAGTGGGCTCTGGCTGACCATCTTTGAGAAACCTGTACCTATATAGGTACAAGATTCCCACAAAATTTGGTGAGCATTTTGGTGAGGACTTTTCAGATAAATATCACATGTTGTGTCAGAAGGGGGACATTCCCATGGGAAGAGAAGTGGCAGCAACTGATACGTAGAGCACAGAGACAGTTGTACATGGTTTCCCTTTCTATGCATCAGGGATGCTCTTCTGTGTTTGGATTGTGCCAGAATGAAGAGAGAAGGAGACTGCTAATGATCTCTACAGGGAAGGGGCAGTTGGCCTGTGCAAGGAAAGGCACTGCAAAAGAATTACGCTCTTGGGTCTCTCATTAATTTTAGCGGGTCTCCCACTCTTGGCTTCAGCATCTCACTGGCCTGGTGGCCCCTTGCACAATGCCTAGAACTACCAAGAATAGAGAGGCCTCTCAAAGAGTTCCTCAAAGAGTTTCCCTGGCAGCATTATTCTGTGGAATAGTGTCTGGAAAACCTTTTCAAGATTATGAGGCTTAGATGAACTTGCTGGAAGGGATGGTTGTAATTTTGAAGTATTCCAGACACCAATGGGAAGCTTGGTTTTAACAATTAGTTGCAAGTTTGGCATGGGCACACCACAGCTTGCATACGCTTTAAATGAATATCATAAAACTGAGTCCCTCTGGGGTTGAAAGCTGTCTTGCACTATTTACAATGACCTGTCCTCTCATCTCAGTGTCGTCTGTGGTCAAGCAGGAGGCCCAACTTCTATTTACCTGCTCAGAGGCCCCAGGTGAAGCCTTTCATGTAACTGAGCTTTAAATTAAGCCAAGTGGGGATTATGATTAGTATATAAAAAATCTCCTGAAGAGCATTTAGAAACCAATCATTTTAGTAATTGCCTGGATTGATTTAAAACTTCAGTTGACCCAAAACACATATTCCAGCTTTGGCATAAACTCACCAGGCACTTTATTAGGTACTCCTTACTAGTACCACGTTGGACCCCTTTTTGCCTTCAAAACTGCCTTAATTATTCGTGGCATAGATTCTACAAGGTGTTGGAAACATTCCTCAGTGATTTTGGTCCATATTGACATGAGGTAGTGTTGCCTTTCTATCATCTTGAACCAGTCGTCGGCCCATTCTCCTCTGACATCAATAAGACACACAACTGCTGCTCGCTGGATATTTTATCTTTTTGGACCATTCTCTGTAAAGACTAGAGATGGCGGTGCGTGAAAATCCCAGTAGATCAGCAGTTCTTGAAATACGCAGACCAGCCCATCTGGCACCAACAACCATGCCACGTTCAAAGCCACTTAAATTCCATTTCTTCCCCATTCTAATGCTCAGTTTGAACTTCAGCAAGTCGTCTTCACCATGTCTAGATGCCTAAATGCATTGAGTTGCTGCCATGTGATTGGCTGATTAGCAAATTGTGTTACCAAGCAATTGAACAGGTATACCTAATAAAGTGGCTGGTGAGTGTATGTTGGATAATTTAATGAGTTCACTGTATTTTGTATTTCTCTGTGACTCTGTTGGTGAGATTCTTGTTGAAACATCCCAAATATGCAGCAATACTCCAGAGCTGCTCCTCTCACCAGTCCAAAGGTAATTAGGGTGCTGGCTCAAAGAAGCCCATCCTGGCTCACCATTGAAGAGAATAGATGAATAAGGGCAGCACCCAATTTCCATTCTTCCAAATACTTGTATGCCTGCATCATCGGCATAGCTGCAATCATGATGTCTCCACCCAAAAGAAGCCACCACCATCTTACGAGTTAGCAGGTGATCGTTTGCCTCTTATGTGGCCACAGCAGGCATCTAGAGCACCTCTATCAAAGATTAACCTTCCAGCATTCAAACTGTAACTCTCATTTTCTTCCTCTTGATGTGCCGGTGTGGGTGGGTGGGTGGTGACCAGATCCTCTACCCACTCTCCTGGTTCTGTGGCTGTACCCCCTCTCTCACAGGGGTATCTAAATACTGGCCCATTTCTTCCAGGTCTCGCAGCAAGGTGAAATCACTGACATTTCTTATCTCTCTCACCAGAGGCCACATGAAGAACTTCACACAGAGGCCGCATGTAGCCAAACTTCTTAACTGAAGAATGCAATTTAGGATTACAGCCATTCGGGGTTCAGACTCTGACTCAGTCCAGCATACATTTTTCTTGCCAAATCACTGTCATGCGTCTCTTGAGCCAGGTGATGCATTACTGTGCCCAACTCACAGGAACCCCCTTCTAGGGGAAAACGGATAAAAGTGCAGCCCCTTAGAAGATCATCCATCACATGGCAACCCTTCCCATTGCCAGGACTCTCTGTAAAACTAAGCTCCCCCCCCCATATTTATGGGGATCCTTGCAGGAAGGAAGTGAACTTACCATTCTTCCTGAAAGGATTTAAAATTGCCCTGCTCCTATGTGGGCCACCTAGTGGACCCAACCTCTACATTCCTACAAAAGCATTTCACCACTAATGGTTGTGATCAAGCCATTTGTGGTGAAACATGTTAAAGAATTAGTGGTTTCTTTTGGGTGGAGACATCATGATTGTACCTATAAGGTTGATGCTTGAATACAAATATTTGGAAGAGTGGAGATTGACGTGCTGCCCTTATTCATCTATTCTTTATTGGTGAGATCTTGCAGGTTCTTCCCATCAGCTGTTGAGACCTGTAGGCAGGGGTGTATTTACCTCAAGGCAAACAAGGCATTTGCCTAGAGCAGCATTTTTCAGGGGGGGGCAGCACTGCCCCTCGGAAGAAGGAATGGAAGAAGGAACACAAGCGGTATGGGGACCTGGTGGGTTCCGAGAGAGGTTGCTGGTTTCATGACGGTGTATGCACAGCCCGACTCTCGTTCCTGGGGATGTCCGGAGCTGTGAAGGTGAGTGTCTTTCTCTCTCTCACCATGGGGGATGGTGGCTGGTGTATGGGGGGCAGTGGTAGTGGAAGGCTCTGTCGGGTGGCAGTTAAGGATGTTGTTGGTCAATGTCAGGCTCTCTCTGCAGGGGGCGCCAATTTTTGTTTTGCCTAGGGCAGCACAAAACCTAAATACACCACTGACTGTAGGGGTGTACATGCTGGTGGGAGGAACCGCGAAGACCAGAGGGGAACATGCTATATGACACAACCCAGTGGTGTATTTAGGTTTTGTTCTGCCCTAGGAAACACAAAAATCGGACACCCTACCCCCCTCCCCGGCAGAAAGATTGACACTGGCCAACACCAGACCCCCTCCCTTTCCAACCACGCAGAGGAAGCCCGACAGTGACCAACAATACCCCTGCCTCCTCCTTCCCACTTGAGAGAGCCCTCCACTAGCACAGCACCCCCCCCACAGCAACAGAGAGAAAGACACTCACCTTCACAGCTCTGGACATTTTGGAGAACGAGAGTTGAGCTCTGCATACACCATCAAGCAGCCCACAGCTCTCAGATCCCACTTGGGGAGTGCGCATGCGTGGCCGGCGGGACGGACATGCCCCGTTGAGGCTCCGTCTTCCCGTCGGGTGACAGCGCCGCCAAGCAGCGGGTCCCGGCCCGCAACATACCCCAGGGGGACCCGAGCACAGCGGCA